TCTGCAAAATGATGTGTTCTTTCTATGCGACGTCATCAGGCATGGTCGCCTTTTTTCATGACGACATAATAGGAAATTGAGAGGAAATCAAGAAAATTTGACGTCATAATCGAATTTTGAACAATGAAGAATTGAGATCAAACGAACCACACGTTGATTAAATAAAAGTAATCAACAGGTCAGGAAAAGGATAAATCGTGAAATAATTAGAAAAATCAGTATATACGTGTTTTTCTTAATCAATATCAACATTTAAGAACAGTTTTTCCTATTTTTTACGAATATGATTTTATTAAGCTACATTAGTTAAAAACTATGTCGGGTTGAGATTGTCTGGTATCGGTTGTGATATTCTGGACCAAATTTGAGATCTTCCGTCGAATACAACTTTCAACTAGAGTGTCGGATACGACCGTCAAAATTCATAATCTTTTTGTATCGTGGTTTTCAAATGGAAAGTCTAGCGCTAGAGATTTAAACTCCATCGCTGGAGATGTAAAATCTAACGCAGAGATATAAAGAAAATCGCCGTCGATAAAAAGTCAACTGCTGTACGTATAATGTCGAACGCAGGTTACGTTATGTCCAGCTCTGCAGATCTAAACTTTTATAGCTGTAGAAGCAAAGTTCCACCGCTGGAGCCCATAATTGGGAATAAAATCTTCTTCTTCAATAGTGCGAGAGGCTTATCTTCTCTTATGTGTGCCACATCATTCTCTATTTTAGGCCAGTTAGTGTACTTAAATTTTAATAAGACGCACACCATGCACTATACTTGGCCCCAAATCCTATCCACGTTATTTTTTTCACTTTCAAACATTAATGAAGGGCGAGATCAATGTACCGTTATTTATACATCAGACTGTACTGATTACCGGAACTTTGGATACAACAAACCAGGTGCTTCATATTTGAGAAATAGGCAATATATGCCCTCAATTTTAAGAATTCATACATACATTTTTGTATGATTCAAATTATCGGTCAAAATGTGTTCTACAAGATCACCAGTCCTTCACCTTTCATTTGATACCTAAATTACCAAAATATAGTCTACATAGTTTGATATTTACACCTATGCGTTGTTTCAAATATGTACTACTTTCCAGTATGTTCTATTTGACCGTGCCCGATTAGGTGGTATTGCATCTAACAAAGTATATCCGAATTATTTTCGCAAAGAATTAAGCTCAAGACGGTGCTAGAGGCCGTCTTAAACTTTCAGTGAGGTGATAGTTGTTTTGCTCCATGTAATAGTCCTCGATCTAGACTTTACTTCTCCAGCGCTAGACATTACATATTTACCTATAGACTTCAAATATTTACTCAGCGCTAGACTTTCCATCTCGTCAAAACTAGTAACAAGTTAAAATGACAACCACTATACAGAAGTTCGTGAATTTTGACGGTCGTATCCGATTGACAATTTGCTAGTTGGAAGATTTATTCAACAGAAGCTTATATAATGATGTATACGTTGGCTTTATTGATTAACTCACTGCCATTTTGTCAAACACTCAATGAGCTGGCCGCAATCACCTGCGGGGGGAAAAGTGATTCCGATGTCACTTTAAATTATATTGGTCCGAGTGATAAGCGAGACAAGCTCTCATTTACTTATCTATGGCATGACATTCTCATATCTATAATACTAAAATAACGAGGTCCAATTTGTTAGCCGGCATGATGTAAAAACGACGAACCAAAGAATTCAACTTTATAAACAACTAATATACGACAATGCTGTAGATTAAAAATTACACCATTCCAGATCCTTTTGTTTTCCACATAATACATATTAGCGGTAATTAACAAATTCCGGGTCGAATCCGATACAGATACCAAAAGTATATGTCACATGTAGTTTCCGGTTGATGCATGTATGTATGTCATGTATCTTCCTCCTGAGCACCACCATGGGTTATGGTGTTAAGGAAGACATTCAACACACTGTATCGGTACAGATTAAATGTGAGCATTTGCCTACCCAGTTTCCCAGTCTGGCCATCCTCAAAATATAAAAAAAATGAAAAATATAAAAACATGTAAGAAGCCAGGACGGGTTCAAACAAACAGATTTTGAATCCAGAAAACTGTGCACATTGCAATCAGCATGACTTTATCAGATGACAATACGAACACTAAAAATTGCTAAAAATTAGACATAGGCACTTTCATTCAGTCACGGCTCCGCCATGTCGCGGTTGTGTTATAGCTTAACAAATTATTCACAGATAAACAATAAATTGACGAAAAGTCGACCTACCCTATTAATATTTTTGATATATTTTACCAGAAAAGCTCAACAGGAAGTGCCAGTTAACTTTATCTCGCTTAACCATTTGGTTGAGATTTGATGGTTTACCAGGCGAGCACTATGTCTTTACTTTTATACGTTTAGCTTTTGCCAAAGAGCATGGAATATATTAACTTGGTGAAATATGAAGTTTTGCTTATATTTACCAAGGTACATTTCAGTAGGAAGATGACTACATACACTGTAGGAATGTCAAGTGTCTATAAAAAAACTACGTCCACCTAAAGTAACAAGTTCGTTGTCATGAAAAAATCAAACATCATGTCAGTTTCACAGTTATGACCTCTTTTTGGATCAGTTTTTTACAAAGTATACTTTGTCTGTTCCTTAAAAAAGGTATTTGCATCTACCCTTGTTCATTTTATGAAAGAAAGTTTGACGTATATTTTTTACAAGACGTAGTTGTTCTGTGATTCTTACCTAACACAGTCCCGTTGGCGATTTATGTAGCAAAACAAATTCGGTGACCCCCTTTAAACTGTTTATCAATACAATGGATAAGTTAATTTACTTCAAGGGTAATTAAATATTTTGCCTGGTAATGTCTAATATATTTAGACTCCAATATCATTCCCGTTAAACAAAACAATACAGAACAATCCTTATTCGAGCACACCTTCTAAAATACAACCTATAAAGCGATCTTATGTCAGTGAAAATAAAGGTGGAAATCGTAGGAACCACGTGATAAATAAAAATGCAAGATTTCTGTAATTTTTCGTTATGATAAAATTATTTTATATGGTTGAAAATTCCAGTGTGTGATTTTCAAAGACTTGGAATACGTTGTTTAAACTTGAGCGACGTCGTTAATCAAATTCTATACTTGGCAATAACCAGTCCCGTTAGGTCCGTACGTTGAGTTACGTAAGTATGCCATTTTATTGTAAATCTCTAGTATAAGGTGACGTTCATTAAAGTAAGACTTCATTATAACATATCGTGAAATGAACACGCCATATAACATGTTACAAGAAGAACATCGTCTTCCAAAAAGAAATTGTGTGTTGGCATAAAGAAATCGTCTCTTTTGTAGTATATTCTAGGGCCAATTTATGCATTTTTCAAAGTTAAATAATCGACAATAATTTTATCAGAGTTTTTTTCAGATTTTGAGATAAAAGAATTCAAATTCAACTTCGTGAATTCATGGTTTGGTCACGTGTCTACAATATGATGGAATTTAAAATGTCCAAGTATTGGATAAATTATTACAAGTAGTAAAGACATACAAATCCTTTGGCATGATTTGTGCTTTTTCGTGTGTGTTAGATGCTGACTGAAATGTGATTTCCTGCATGTTCGTTTTAACCCGACATTAATAAGCTCTTACTACAACCTTCGTTCTACAGAAAGTTTTTAAAAAGCTTTTGAATTGGATTCGAGTTTAGGCCTAACTGTTACTTTCTTATATCAAAGACTGATCGAAACAATGTCATTTACAATATACTTGTCAATTGGACAGTTAATGTAAGTTACCTGTGATAGGGTAGTAGTACCACATTTTGAATTTAGATAAACAATGACAAAACATAAAGTATACTTTACAAGAGTAGCAACGACCAAATAAAATCAAAAGTTGTCAATGTGTCAAAAATTAACACCCTTTCATTCATTAACTTCAAGCGAATTATTATTTCACTATTTCACTTTATAAATGATTGAACAAAAAAAATCATATTTTGTTTTTTTATATCTCGTAGCTAATGCCCCGTTAAAGACAATTATTTTTTATTTGTAGATTAATTTTTTCTACCATAACTCAGATTGAATATGGAAATATTAACCATACTATAACCCATTATCCCTGTTAATCACTTTAATGTCAACTCTAAGGGTAATAGTGAGGGTAAGAGGTTTCGAAACCATTAGTTGCATTCAGAGTATAAATTTGGTTATCAGTGACATTCTGTAATTAAGGAAAATATCTACGAAAAGTGAAATATATCTCTGATCATGTATTACATAGAGGTACAATGAATCATTTATGAATTTACATGCAGTATGTAAAACTATCTTTGCGGGTTTCCTATATTTCATGTTAAAAGCGATGGATGAGATCAACGTAGCAAGAGGACTGCATAGCCTTACGTGACGATACAGAAAACCGCTACCTTCTATCAATTTTCACAAAAAGCCTCTGTATGTGGAATGTCTGACAAAAATTATATGCGATTGTCATAGAAGTGAGAGGTTGAGCTAGCTATAAAACCAGGTTTAATCCACCATTTTCTACATAAGGAAATGCCTGCACCAAGTAAGGAATATGACAGTTGTTTTTCATTCGTGTGAAGTGTTTGAGCTCTTGATTTTGTCATTTGATAAATCACAATCCATTTTGAATTTTCCTTGGAGTTTCGTATTTTTGTTTTTTTCCTTTTTTTCACACGAACAAAGAACGCGAAAAGAGGAGTATATATAGTACCACATACTTTCGACTCTCTGTCAAAAAAATTACACCATACAAACACACACATATATATAAATGCCGTAAAAAAGCTTGTTGATGGTGTCAGTTTCATATATTTATAATAATTTAGTAATTTAACTGTCTACTTTGCGTTTAAATTGGAAGAAACATTGTATTTAATTGGATATTACCAGCACACACTTATATTTTTCACTGATTTTTCCCTATGAAATTTGCAAGTTCAATATAATCAACTTAAAAATGTTGACATACCTTTACTGTTTTTGGTTTCCTTTGCACAGGGCACTGAAAAAAAAATGAAGACACTTTATAAATTTCCTGCGTCAGAAGCGCTTTTCTTGGTTTACCTTCACCAGGAACGCCCAAAGCCGAATATTTGAAAACCAAGGATGTATAAGAAACGAAACAGCTGAAGAGCAACATGGCAGAAAGGACATAAAAATAAATGCCAAATCCATATAAGGGCAACTTTGCCAGAAGGAGTTTTAATTCATAAACAGACAATTTAAGAAAGGTTTCTTTTAAATAATGCCATGACCGATTTACTGACTTAAAGGGAAAAAAATTAACAATAATGCCGAATTCCAAGGTACATAAAAAAGGGTGATTTCATGAAAATTGAAAAAAAAATCAAACGTTAGACTTTCTCATTCAACGGAGCAATGGGAAAACAACTGTCATATTCGTGACTTGGTACAGGCATTTTCCGAAGAAAATGGTGGGTTAAACCTGCTTTTATAGACACGTACATTGTTTTATAATTCTGTTTTATTGACAATTTGGGTGAAGAACCCAAACAGACTTACTAGATTAATGTGACAATAATTGAGACCCAGCTAAAAGTGTTTAAACATACATCACAAAAACATACAACACAACTAAACTAGAGGCTCTTAAGAGCCTGTGCTGCTCACCTGCATCTTCAGCAATGGTAACTTTTTAGTAAAACTCATTATTAAAGGGGAATAACTCTATTAAGAGTTAACTGACAATTTCAGTTATGTTTGACATATATGAGAATTGATCCTGCTGATAGTTTTTCCTTTTTATTTTTTCCTTTTTGAAATTTCTATTTATCTATTATATTTTTCAAGATGATAGGCAAAAAATGCAAACAAATGTTAAAAAATATCATTTAAGGGCAATAACTCCAATAACGAGTCGACTGAATAATTCAGCCGTTCTGGCTTATTTGTAGATCTTGACTTGCTGATCATTATGTCTTTTTTTTAAGTGTTTATCTATCTATTACACTTTTCAAGATAATAGGCAAAATTGGGAAAAAATGGGAAAATCAATAACAATAACTTCAATAATGAGTTGACTTACGATTTTGGTCATGTTGAATTATTTGTAAATCTGGTCTTGCTGATAATTTTTGCTTGCAAAGTTTTTATCTATCTCTTATAATTTTAAAGATATTAATCAAAAGGGAAAAAATCGTGAAAATCGTCATTAAAGGGCAATAACTCTAATAAGAAGTCAACTGAAGATTTCGGCTATAATGACTTATTTATAGATCCGGTCGTGTTGATCATTTTTGATGTTGAAAGATTCTATCTATCTATTATAGTTTTTGGGATATTAGGCAATAACGCAAAAAAGGGTAAAATAACGAATTTTAATCGCAACAATTTTTATTTTTTCGCAGAGTATGAAAAAGGCGACCGCCAGCAGAAACCTTGCAAATGGTAAATGTATCATGACCATCTTCAACCAGAGCTTGATAGGTGCGTCCCGTATCATTCGGGGTAACTCAGCCGATTTTGTCTAGTCGGATTACAATCGTGACTATGTCGAGACAGATTCTGCTGTATCGCATCAAAATCGTAACAATGTTCTGTGTTTTCTGGACGGTGTCCTGTGGAACGGACATGATCTGGAGAGATTTGTCATTGCTGTTTTTTTTGCCGATTGAGTCAAGATTGCATCCAGATCTTACCTAATGCGAACCGTCTTTGTCGAAACTGTTCCGGAACAGTCCCGTTATTAATACGAAATTCGGCAATAATACCTACGTCAGAGTCCCGACAATTACAGAACACGATACGACTGAGTCCAGACAAAGCCTTTTACAATGCGGTACAGCAGATTGTGATAGGATTGCGCTCAGACAGGACCTGATCATCACGAATATGACGACAGTTTTCTAACGGATATTTTCCGTTAGCGTCGGTTCACTGTCTGGTCACTGTCTAATCTCTGTCAGATTGCATTTGGCAGAATAGGGACGCTGTCGGGACAGATTCTGTCGTTTTTAACCATCGGCTGAATTTGGACGCTTCCTGTACAATATCTGATTGTTGTCGTGATTAAATAAATGTTTTTACAAATTTTAATAAAAGTTTGAATTTCCAGGCACGATTCACAGGATCTTGATCCGACTTTTAACAAATTTTAATCGGGAATGGTCCTATCAAGGACGGCAGTAAAATTCATGAATGTGTGCCCCGGCTTAAAGGCCACCAATTGGTCTTCATCACAGCGAGAAAATCCACCTCAGCTGACCCCTAAATAATAATGTATACTAGTTCAGCGAAATGGACGCTATACTAAACTCCGAAACATATAAATGAACCGAAATACAAAAAAGAAAAACCACACACTAACATGTGCCATTTTAAGCGGGATATTTAATACTAGTTGGTACGAGAACCAGTAACCATCACTTACGAATCTTGCCACTAAATAATACAAATTTCCACTTTATCTCACCATATATATATATATCATATTTTTAGTATTGTGTAGAAAGAATAGAGGAAGGTCTATAGAATGGAAAAGGTGCTCTACCTATTCTAAATCTGAATTTATGATGAAATTATGTGAATTGAAATCAATTAACAAGTTAAACATATTGTAGATGAGCAGAGTGTTTTTAATTTGAAATTAATTATTTTGTTTGCCTTAAATATATGAGCAGGTAAATATTACTGACAGGTTCATTAGATCTACTGCATTGACACGAGTGCTGGTCAATTAGGCTATTAATAGCTCGAGTGCTTGCAAGTGCAGTATAAAACTTCCAAGGCGTAATATCAAATAATCTAAAAGAGTACACAAATTTATATTTCAAATAAAGAATGTCAAAATACATGTATCGCAGTTACTTGTCAAAAGCTTTTATAATTATTAAAGTTGTGCTTGACATATAGTTATAAATGACATCATGGTTCTAAACTGTTTTAAGTTTGCTATTCATTACATATTGCAACCTAATAATATATTATGTGTATGTCTATTTCACAGCTAGGTACTTCTTTATCTCTAAAACAATACCTATATATACATTTAGTTAAGTATTAATTCTTTAGAGAAAAACTCATATACTCAACATTCAGAATGGTCAGGCTTTAGCCGTCAACATGTGTGCAATTTTTTAACTATGAGAGAAAAAAAAATGAAAAAAAATCATGTCTTGTTTTAAACTCAAGGGTGACTGGGGAATAGAAATAAGGTCATCATTGGTCTTCCTCCGACCGGCAATAAAATCCTCGCCAAACTAGATCGTTTGTTTGGCTGTGTGGGATGTACAATTTCGTAGCCACGTCCGGTCAGAATGGGGACGTTAAATCCGATGCCTCGTGTAAAAAGAGTGCCACATTTGTTACAAGTTAAAAACCATTGCAACAATTCTTTGAGCGGTCTGTAGGTCACCTACGATCGATTGTAAAACGATGTCTACGATGGCCATTTCTGTTAAGCAGAAATAGACTCACAGCTCCAAAACTCGGCCAGTTGCTCCCTAAGAATATTTATTGCAGTTTGTGGATTATTTTTCAAAAGATGTACTTTTTATATTCATATCACCTTACTCCACGTTACCGGCAATAATGTTTTAATTTGTATGCCAATTTATGTGTGTTCCAACATATATTCTAATAAAAACTTACTTTTACATTTTTTCAAGAACAGAATTGGCACCACAATCCAGGCAATCGGAATCAATACAACTAAAAATAGCGTTAGATTCTTAGAACAACCTGAAAGTAAAGGGTTAATATATGAAATATTAAAGGATATAAATCTTGGTATTTTTACTTCATTTAAACTTATGCAGATAAATGAAATGCTGAGAAGTCACCATACGACCTTCAACAAGAGAAAACCCATACCGTATAGTTATCTTTTACACTATGTGAAACAATTCAAAAGCAAAATTAACACTATCAGCCCTAATAATGTTTAAAACAATAAACGAAAAGAAAATATAACAGAAAGCAACCAAAGCCAACCTCCGAATTACAGGCTTCCGACTTTGGACAGAAACAAAAGAATGTGGCGGCATTGAATATATTTGTGAGCGCTCAGTCCTCTCCTCTTTCCCGGGACAGTGGTGTAACAGCAAAACACAAAGAACAAACTGTAAATGTCAGTCGGAAAGCGTTTGACTCATGAAATCGGCCGATAAACCAATAACACATAACTAAAAGACAGACAAAACTACAACATTCCATTATAAGATTACTAGCACGTACTGAAAGCTAGTTCAAAGCCAATTTCAGTTCATAAATAAACCTTGATTATCCCGATATATATCGATATTTATTATAAAATTTAGGTAATGGTATTTCTCGATCACTGACGTCACAATAAATTTATAAGTAACATCATGGAACGTCCCTCCTATGCCTTGTCGTGAGAAGTGCTGAAATTTGTAAATTAACAATTACTTTTATGGAGCCGAAAATAAAGAGCACATGGTAGTCTTACTTATTTAGTATGGTGTGTTAATATGAACATTGTCGTTCATGTAAATATTTGTGTTGTAAATACAAGTGCTCAATATATATACTTCACCGTCTCAAAATTGGTAAAAATCTGTTTATATGCTATGTTTCGATCGTAAAATCTCCTTGAATATTCATAAAATTTTAAAATGCAACGGTTTTCTTATTACGCATACTTATTGGGTGTCTCTTAGCAAAAATAAGCTGATTTTGTAATACAATTTAAGGCCAAATAGCAAGAAATACAAACAGAAAAAACATCAAAATATCAACGTAAAGTTGTAGAACTTTAATCAAATACATTGAACCACTTGACGTAAACATTGATTAAAGTCCTTTTTGGCCAAATTAGAAGTAGTATTTGAAAGAAAGATTTCGACATATATTATAATGTTAAACATTTTTTCTCTTCAAATCATCCGATTCCCATAGTTCAATAATCCTAATTGCGACTTCAATTATATTTTTTGCAGTCCGTTCAATAACTTACGTGAATCATCGTCATCTTCATGCAGACCGTCACCTATCAAGAAAAAGAATAAAACAAATAGTCATAGCAGATATGTATCAAAATTAGATGCTTTATCACAACATTAATATTCTTGAGAGATTGTCGATTGAATGACCAACAATTTATTTGAGAAACATATAACGACCTTCATATATAAAAAAAATAAAAATGAATAAACAGAAATGTATGTATGCAAATGAGACAGCCACCAAACGAAACAAACATGCTGACTATAGTTTTTCTAAATTTATTTCGATGTTTTTGTAGTATTAAAGTTTTATAAAATGTTATTTTATTTTATCGTTAATTTTAAAAAAAAAGTAGTGTTGACTGGAAAAGAGCTGGCTTCTATCTTTCTAAACCTTTCCGGTAAAATCATTTCTTTGGGTAAGAAATGGTAGATTTTCACTAGTATACATTTTTGTTTAGGGACCAGCTGAAGCCCGACTCCGGGGCGGGATTTTCTCGCTGTGTTGAAGACCCGTTCGTGGCCTTTAGCTGTGTTCTGCTCTTTGGTCTGGTCGTTGTTTCTTTGACACATTCCCCGTTTCCATTCTCAATTCTATTTCAAAACTTTTAAATGTAAAAATAGTTTGCCCTTGTCTCTTTGTCCTAAGTAGTCACTAGGAACGTTTGCTATTCCAAGGAAGACAATCTGCAAATAAGGCATCTTCTACACACCCCTATTGTATTGTTCGAACAAATGCCTTCTTCTAGTTCGATCGTGGGATAGACAAAACAAAAAATGAACTATTTGTTTTCATGGAATAACAGCAAAGGTAAAAAATTTCTCATCAAGTCAACCACTGTCATAAATCGAAGTAAAAACGTACAAAATCACGGCCCATAAAAAAAAACGACGAAAAGACGAACTGTCTATAATACACTACACAGAACACATAAGACTGAGGAACACGAACCCCAAGAAAGACTCAGGTGCTCCAGAAGGGTAAGCAGATCCTGATCAACTACTGATACCCGTCGTGTTCCTCCTGGTAAATACAAATATGGTACTTAGTTGCACTCTGTGTTAATTGTTTTCATAAAGAATACACGGTTTTTGATGCACCCACAAGCAAAATATCTATCCTCACCCAAACAAAAAACAGTCATATTTTATTCACTGTGTCTACTTTTGTCTGTCTCTATATTACTAAATAACAAAGTATAAGTAAATGCATTTCAATTTTTAAATCATTAAATATTAGCATACATCATCTAGTCATTCGACCATTGCACTGAGCATAACCAATATGACAATTCAACTTTGTACTTATATACAACAGTTGCGGATAAACTATAAACATGATACCTCTGTTTTAATAAATGATCTACGAGTAACAAATTAAACGTATGTTACTGCCAACAGCTAACACTTAAAACAATTCATTCACTTGATAGATTTGATTTATTTCTGTGAAAATAACATATAATCAGGTACTTTTTATATTGTTCACGCGAGTATTAAACCAGGAACGATAAGAACTTGATCCCAATCCCCATCTTCCTTAATTTTGTGGTATAGATCCTTTTGGTACAATTTCATAGAGATCCATACACTTATACTCAAGTTATTGGCTGGAAACCAAATGTCTTCGCACGACGTCGACGACGACTACGTCATACCATTATACGACAATTTTTGCGGTCCTAAATGGAGAGAAAATGTTTCCGGATTTGTAACTACTTATTTATTACACACGTAATGTGTAATTAATATTTTTTAATATACAACAGTTAAACTATCATTTGAATCACCTGTTCACACAAAAAAAACCCAAAAAAACACACACACAAAAATGCAACTAACTAATATTTGGGCAATAACTCCTATAAGGAGGGAAATGATAATAACAGTGATTTGATTTTATTCGTAAATTTTGTTTGGCTGCTCCTTATATTAAAGTTAAACTCATGACCATGGTGTTTCTAGGCGGGCACATGCAGTACTACAATTGTTAAACAAGATAAATTAACAATAAAAGCAGACAGGTTTGGTCAAGCTTGCCACGGTGAGTTTAGAGGAGAAACGGTTCACAAATATTATAAAATACGGACGTCTTATGATACCAAAAGCTCAAATATCAATATGCTATGGATCTTTGGTTCAGAAAGAGGTATCAAAAGACATTTACAGGTGAACAAACGAACTTCAACAATAGCTGTTCTCTATACATGTTCAATAAGGTCAATATCCTTAGCAATGAATAGAAAAAAAGTTGTGAAAATATTTTACATAGATTATCAAAGATCTGAAATTGGAAGAAATCAAATAAAAGAAGAAAGTTTCCATGGGACACAGATGCCCCTTCTTGTAAATAAACAGCAAATTCAGCAATTTTTCAATTCATAAATGGACATAACTCGAAATAAACGCCACCCTTATTCGAACTTGATCTGTGTTTGGTTGTACTTAGCATTGCGTAAAAGAGAGGCGAAAGATACCAAAGTGACATTCAAAGTCGAAAATGAACTGACAACGCCATGGCTAACAAAGAAAAAGACCAAAAGACAAACACAACATAGAAAACTAAGGACTGAGCAACATGAACCCCACCAAAAACAGGTTGTGATATCATGTGCTCCGGAAGGGTAAGCAGATCCTGCTCCTCATGTTGCACCCATCGTGTTGCTCATGTTAGTACAAACCCGGTAATAAGTATAACTCGGTAGGTCACATTCGGGAAAAGGGGACGGGATTGTAGTTACGACATTAGAAACATATTCACTTTAAATTTACGAAGGGATGATTTCAACTTCACCACTTGGAACTCTTGGTATAATAGCTTCCTTGTGAGCAGCAACCCTCTATCAAAGAAATCATGATAAGAAACACAAGCCCTAGAATATCGTATCAACTGGGAGATATATACTCCGTATGCAGGTGTAAATGTGTCATAACATTTGGTTGAGGCAAACTAAAATCAAAGTGCGAAAACGACAAATTAGCAATTTTTTTCATTTATAAAGGGACATAATTCAAGAACATTGACAATGACGCCACCCAAATTCGACCTTGATCTGTGTTTGGTGGTAATAAGCATTGTGTATAAGTTCATAACATTTTTTTGAGGCAAACTAAAGTCAGAGAACGGAAACTAATTTTGGGACGAACGGATGTACGGACGGACGTATTAGGGTAAAACGTTATGCCCCTTTCGCCGCTGCCCAGAAATGGGAAGGTCAGGTTGAAATGTGGCGGGGTTAAAGTAGTGTAACTTATTATTTATTTCACAATCATTTGTCGCAACCTTCCTAATCGACTAAATTAAAAATATTCGTCTTAACAAAGAATTAGACTTTAAGAAATGGAATATTTCACCATGTTTAGATTGATCAGAAAATCAAACGTTGAGACTTTAACCAACTTGTTGTGGGTAACACATGACTGTTACTTTAGACAAATATCAATTATTAACATGTCAAAGAGGTGTTTCTTTTTTTTTCGATTAAGGTAAACTGAAAACCTACTAGTTTTCTTATGAGGAAGCAAATTAAACAAGCACCGCCCTTAATGTTTCGTTGTATGGCTAATTCAATATATATATATGAATTATTAAAGGTTTGGTGATTACTTTGGGACCATTTGCCAAAATACTACTAGTACAAAATGTACCTTGGAAATAAATTCGTGTAACCAAGCTTTTAACTCTGCGCAAATGCTTCATAAGTTCATAATGTGAAAGTTACCTTTTACTCTTATTGTGAAAATATCGATATTAAAATCTATGGGTTCCTTTGTTACACAAATCAGGACGCTATTGTCATGTTTTATCATTTAAGAAAAATTAACTTTCATACAGAGTGTAAATAATTCAATTTTTTCCTCCAAAACAGTCTAAAAGTATACAAGATTCGATAAGAACTAATAATTATTAATGTTGAAAACTGATAAGGTTTTAATTTGTTCATGAATTCATAACTTGATCAAAATACAACCGTTAAGAAAAATCAAAGTAACAATAATTAGTTGTTCTTCCTTTTAACAGGTCGGGAACACTACCTTATATGGATATGCATAAATTAGCATACTTATGTCCTCGCACATGAAATTGTTTATTTACGTATGACGCAATTTTTTTTTTTACCTGGGTTTTTGACCAATCCACTAAATGAGTAACAATGCATGATAGACTACAACGTGTTTACGATCAACCGAGAACACGTGTTATTTGCTGAAATACAACACATTTTTCCATGCATTGCGGGAAAAACAATTTCGCTTAGTTTTTCATTTTTTGTATCCACATTTATAGTACGTGATATAAAGTATTCGTTCCATGCTCAAATTAAAGAAGAGTTGTTTCTATGCGACGAAACCAGTGTTTGAATTACCCGAAATGTAGCCATTAATATGATTGATGATTACACGAAGATTTCAGATATTCGTCCACAAGACAGCAAAGAAACAACAGTGAAAAACACAATTTAATACCCATAAGATAAACTTTCATTCAGATAGTTAAAAAATATGGGATCCTTGAATTTTGTGTTCGCAGTAAAGGTATGTGTTTATTAATTTATCTTTAAGTAAAAAAAACACGTGTAATCATCAATCGTAGCCATTTATAGCCGACTATACGGTATGGGTTTTAATCATTGTTGAAGGCCTTACGGTTGCCTATAATTGCTTAAAACCACTTCATTTGAACTTTGATGGATAGTTGTCTCATTGGCAATCATACCACATCTCCTTAATTTTCTATACAAACACCTTTCAGAAAGATTGGTTTTCCATTATCTTGAAAAGAAATATTTACTTTAGAATACCGTGTAATATTTTTATATGTAGAATGTGACAGGTACAGAACATGTATTAAATTTATATCATCTATCATATTTCATCAAAACTGCTCAAGTTATTTTTTAATTCTTGTCTAACAATGTTAACAAAATCTATAAGTATTTCAAACTGTTCCCATTGTTCTGAAGGTAATTAATGAAGCAATATTTTCCTCAATCATTGCAAGCAGTGTAGATTCGTTTTGTTTTTGTCTTTGCAATGTTCGTTTTCTTCGAATGCAGATGTTGGATTTTTTTACATTGTTAACGGACTCGGATATTTGCCTATCTTAATAAATAATTTATGGTGCTATCCATGTCTATGTGCGACAAGGACGTGAACTTTTATATGTTTTGTGAAAATTGCAGCGTTGGGGGTCTAAACCTATTATATTTCTCTCATTTATTGGATACAGGTATTTTATACTGGACAGTGGTCACTTCATTGGAAATTTCACTGGTTCACGGGCAATTAATGACAAAACCCGTTCAACTACTTTTACAAGGCGAAAAAGAAAGTCGAATCGTAAAGCCAGTAAACAATATTTGTTTTAATCTGAGCATGCAAATTGAAGATTATGTTATATATTTTATATCAAACACATTCGTTGAACAAAAACATTTATTATGAGAGTTCCAGCAACTATATAAGTTGACAGTTTTCCCACTAATTCCGCGTGTTTTCTATTGGTAGTAAACTCGTAGTAGCCCACAATGCATTGTAGTTCATTGAGTCGATTGGTCAGTTTTTCAAGTCCATGTTTACCTTCTATTTTGGGAATTACTATGCAAATATATTAATTTAAAATTCCATGTCGCATTAAAAAATTGTGTAAATTTCTTAATGCGGCATGGAAGTTTAGATTACAAATTATAATTGCATATCAGTTCTGTTCTTTCTATGACTGTATTAATATTGTGTTGTTCTCTGTTTACTGTCATTATTGTCATTATATATTATGTTACTTTGCTATAGCATTCTGTTTGCTTCTGCAATAAAATATTCATTCATTCATGCATTCATATTCTGACGTCAGGAAATCTAGAGTTCCCAACCTGTTTAAAATATATCAAGATATTACTGCAAACATGTTCGTATATTAATTATCAACCACTTATATTACTTTCCAATTCTAATTACAGAGTAGAAAAACTTGTTGAAAAAAATTAAATTACCTTCGCGGATAAAAAAAATCCATTCTCCTCGAGTTCCAGTTTGACTTTTTGTGTCTGCTGTGTCTGCTGTATCTGCTGTTTCTACTGAGTCATCTTTGTCTTTGATATCTGAAATGTAGTTAGGCTTTATTTTTTTTTATATTCTGAATCAATGTATGTTTATAGTATTTGGTTAATTTGACAATTCACATCATAAACCCTTTTCAGTTTTTTATCATACCTTTTGAAAATTCTTATATCCTGCAATTTAATTTTGTACAACTGATTTTTAATGCAACATGTACGTTTAGAATGCAGTCAATTTCACGTGATTATAAACCTAACCTATCAACTAATAAAGATTTTCAATTCGGCGTAACCAATCTTGCATTAGAGCATGTCGGAAGGAAGTAGAATTTTTACTGGATGAATTGTTTGCACGTTCATCGCACATTTTTTTTCTGAATACATTAACCAAGTCTGCTATTCTAAATCTTTCAATATTTTGTTATTAAATGTTAGGTGATTTTATTGACCTAAGCAGTGGCAAAACCGACGAGGCGAGCAAAATAGAAAAGTAACTATTCTTATGAAAAGTTGACAAAATCAATAGTAAAACACTGCCGACGACGATACTGATTTAAAGTTATTTCTAAACAACAATCGTACATTTTAAATAAAGTTTTTTTTAATTAAACTGTGTTATAAGACACATATATTATAACAACAAAATAGGATGTTACTGTCCATTTAGTTGTTGTATGAGATGTATTGGGTTCCAGTGTTTGTTTCAATATATTTTCAGTTGTTTCTCTGCAGACTCTCAACAGACGAACTACATCTGTCAGAGCTGGTTCTGGGACTTTACATGCTGGGGGAAACTAGCTGTTGACAATGCCTTCGATGGTGCATGGCATTGCTGCCGATGTAAAGGCAGTCTGGGCGTTTTGCGATGTAGAGACAGGCCGGGATCGACTGACACCGATAAGTTTCAAAATTCAAACTTTTTAATAAAATAAATAAAAGCAAAATGAATACAAAACAGTTACAAACAACAATAAGTAAAACAAATATATTCAATTATTTCCCTAATAGAAAACAATAAATATTTTGATAAAACTTCATTTATGAAAACTTTATTTTAGTTTAAATTGATTAGAAATATTTTACTTTAAATCTGACTTAATAATTTAAAAATCATGACTTACCGATAAGTTTCAAAATTAAAACTTTGACGTCTCAAAGGAGAATTTCTACTTATATAGCAATCATTTAATTGATAGTATGCCAACGTGACTTTCTATGTCAGCATTAAATTAGAAATTAACAAATATAGTTATTGTCCGAAATAAGGTCAAAATGTTGTATAAGTAAATGTCTCATCACGATTTACACGAAGTGATGGGTGCTTAAAAACGCAAGGGTCGTGTGCAGAATTTCTGCGCCAGCATAACACCGGAATGACTTCTCAAGGTCATCCGCTGTAAAAATCATTATTAAAGGGGAATAACTCTTTCAAGACAATTTTTGTCATTTATTTTTTAATTCAATGTTTTAAACAAAATCCAGGCATTAAAAGAAATCAATATTGAATTTTTTACTTGTGTACAAAAATATGTTATTGCATACATTTCAACGTTGTATACCCGTCATTATTTATCGACAGAGTTATCGGTCCAGAATAGGACTGCATTAGTTGGGTATGTCTACGGAATTCTTCGGAGATAATCTCGATCGTTAATTAGAAGGCGTCTATTGTAAAATGAATACGAAATGTTGATACATTATAATTTAACCATTGCCTTTTCATTTACTGTGGGTTTTTATAACTAGAATCAACGCTTCCTAAATATGTCGCTGAAATTGACTCACCAAGTTATATTCAATTGTTTCTTTAATTTCATTAAGTTTGAAATGGTTAATTTACTGATTTCTGTTCACTAATGGAATTAATTTTAAAACTTACATTTAACTTTTGTAATTTTCATATGCCCTCACTGGGATTCGAATCCCTCCTGGATGTCTAATATGTATGACTGACATAAACACACCGACGAACCCTCTCGGCTGCAATGGGTTGCAATTTAGATGTCTAGTATATATATATATATATATATATATAGAAGTCTATAAAAAGGACCAACCAGCAAATTTACTATGTACCGGATCGTCTAGAATAGACGATACTGTGCAGATAAGGAAAAAATTATATAAGTCTAGAGATTTGCACAACGATACTAATATAAGATGGTATTATACGAAGATGTTGTTAATAAATCGTGTTGACAAATATTTCGGCTTAACAAATAGCCTTCTTCGGTGTCAATTATTTTAACAATACTGATAATATGTATAAAAATAGCTCAATAATACAGGTAAGTTTTGGTCTATTGATTTAATCCAAAATCCTGAACATCATAATATAAAACAAAACTCAATACTCAAATATACGTGACTGTGTATATTTACAACCCAAAATGAGTGAAAAATAAAACTTAATATTTTTTATTGATGCCGTTTGGATGATGTACATTTAGTTCCTTTATCCAAAAGCTTTCCCGAACCTGTCGCTGGGCATCACTCCAGTGAATGTTCTGTTCAATCACTAGGATCTTCATGCGGTTAAAGTCATCAAGTGTGTGACCAGACTGTCTGAAATGCTGAGAAACTGGGAGAAGTGGCTTCTTTGAGATATCACTCCTATGGCCATTGAGGCGTTTGTGGAAAGGCTGCTTTGACTCACCAACATATTGGAGGCCACAAACCGAACATTCTAGAATGTAAATAACATTCATACTTTTGCAGTTAACATTGCAAAATATCTTATAGTTATTTTCGGTTGCCTTACTGTGAAAAGTTGATGAGTGATGCATCTGTAGGCAGCATTTGCAGCGTTTTTCATCACACGAACGACATTCTCCAGAAGTACTTCTATTATCAGACACTTCAGCCCGCACTAGCAGGTTACGCAGACTATTGGGTTGCCTAAAAGCTATCATGGGAGGCTCGGGAAAAATCTTGGATAGTTTGGAATTCTTTTCAACTGTTTTCCAATGCTCACGAATGACACCGAAGCTGTTTTTGAGAGATGGGTGGTAAGTAAGAACACATGGAGTCCTTTTATTTTTCTTTTTATATTTGTATTCTAACAGTTTACTCCTTGGAATAGTTTCCGCTTTCTGAAAGCCTTTTTGGATATATATATATATATATATATAAAAATTATACAAGTCTAAATTGAAAACAACGTTCAAACCTATGATTGCGTTGGATAAACACCGCAATTTTTATATGTGTGCATGCAAAACAAATTTCTTGTTAGAGGGGTCTAAATACAGCACAAACAACATTTTCCAAAAGACCAAAAAAGTGAGAAAGTATAATTTAACAAAACGCATTTGACTAACAGATCGAACAACAAATGTTCTTAAACCCTGCTGACTGCCATTGGCGATTGCCAAATAAACGGATCACCAATGTAATAAATGGGTCTTAATTATGTAATAAGTAATAAAGTTAGGCCCATTCGGAAATTGTTGGGGTTCAAAGTTGCTGTTAAGGAAAAAAATATGAATACACCCTACATTCTTTCGGTAAGCCTCGCCAGCGCTGTACGGTAAAGTTCGCCACCGGACATGGCTCAAATGAAAGGTAATAACTTGGGAAAGGCCACAGTGAAAGGAATTTTTGGGAGTTAGGCCCATTCGGAAATTGTTGGGGTTCAAAGTTGCTGTTAAGGAAAAAAATACGTATACACCCTACATTCTTTCAGTAAGCCTCGCCAGCGCTGTGCGGTAAAGTTTACCACCAGACATAGCTCAAATGAAAGGTAATAACTTGGGGGAGGCCACAGTGAAAGGAATTTTTGGAGTTAGGCCCATTCTGAAATTGTTGGGGTTCGAAGTTGCTGTTAAGGAAAAAAATATGAATTCACCCTACATTCTTTCGGTAAGCCTCGCCAGCGCTGTACGGTAAAGTTCTCCACCGGACATGGCTCAAATAAAAGGTAATAACTTGGGAAAGGCCACAGTGAAGGGAATTTTTGGGAGTTAGGCCCATTCGGAAATTGTTGGGGTTCAAAGTTGCTGTTAAGGAAAAAAATATGAATACACCCTACATTCTTTCGGTAAGCCTCGCCAGCGCTATACGGTAAAGTTCGCCACCGGACATAGCTCAAATGAAAGGTGATAAATTGGGAAAGGCCACACTGAAAGGAATTTTTCGGAGTTAGGCTCATTCGGAAATTGTTGGGGTTCAAAGTTGCTGTTAAGGAAAAAAATATGAATACACCCTACACTATTTCGGTAAGCCTCGCCAGCGCTGTACGGTAAAGTTCGCCACCGGACATGGCTCAAATGAAAGGTAATAACTTGGGAAAGGCCACAGTGAAAGGAATTTTTGGGAGTTAGGCCCATTCGGAAATTGTTGGGGTTCAAAGTTGCTGTTAAGGAAAAAAATATGAATTCACCCTACATTCTTTCGGTAAGCCTCGCCAGCGCTGTACGGTAAAGTTCGCCACCGGACATGGCTCAAATAAAAGGTAATAACTTGGGAAAGGCCACAGTGAAGGGAATTTTTGGGAGTTGGGTCCATTCGGAAATTGTTGGGGTTCAAAGTGGCTGTTAAGGAAAAATATATGAATACACCCTACATTCTTTCGGTAAGCCTCGCCAGCGCTGTACGGCAAAGTTCGCCACCGGACATGGCTCAAATGAACGGTAATAACTTTGGGAAGGCCACATTGAAAGGAATTCTTGGGAGTTAGGCCCATTCGGAAATTGTTGGGTTTCAAAGATGGTAAGTTCTCACTATACATTTTTGGGAGAGGAGCGGGTTTTCCATAAATATTTCTATTTATATTTTTTAAATGTTTCGAGCATTAAGGTTATATTTCTATTGTTTTAAGAAATATTTTATGTAAAATACATCTTTAATGTTGTTTTATTGATAAAAACTATATTTTACATAAAGACAATTATGCAACTTACATAAGGGTTTATATTCGAGGACAACGAGAATTTACGACATCTTGAAGGGGTCATAAAACGATTTCCTACGTATCTTTTCATTCCTCTAAACTCACAATTTTTTATGATTTTCAAATAAATTTGAATATTGAACCGACTGCTAACAGCTAGTTCATTTACTGACGTCATTTGTGTTGGTTTATTTAACGTTCACTTCTACGGCTGAACATCTCTGTGAAATAATACATATCGTATTGGTAGCTAGAATTTCGAAAAAAAAGTGGCTGCTATCATTATTTGTATTTAAAACGGACTGAAATCCTTTGAGAATCACTACAAGCCGTGAAATTGTCTAATTCCGCTCTTAAATTACATTTATCTTAGATTTTGTGATTTTTGGAACGTTCTAGTCTGATATAGTTTTGGGGTTTTTAGACATATCATCAAAATTGGCTGCTGGAAAAAAGTGGCTGCTATCTTGATTGGCTGCTAAAAGTGGCTGCCAGCTTGAGTCTAGTTTACTTTTTACCAGAATGTTCAGCCAATTACCCAATGTGTAAATACGTTTTTTAAAAAGTGTCGGTCTACCAACAAAGAAGATTTATCATTGCATTTTGGAACACAATATAAATTCAGCATGACTGCCTATGATACAGTGGATATCACTTCTAACCTCTCATTAGAACTGTCAGAATAATCTGTCATAAAACTGTTCTAAACTGTCCTAGAACAGTTCTACTTAGAACAGTTCTATCCTAGAACTGTTCTAAGTAGAACTGTCTGAATCAGTTCTAGGTAGAACTGACCAAATCAGTTCTAGGTAGAACTGTCAGGATCAGTTCTAGGGTAGAACTGTCTAAAACTGTTCTAGGTAGAACTGTCTAAAACTGTTCTAGGTAGAACTGTCTAAAACTGTTCTAGGTAGAACTGTCTAAAACTGTTCTAGGTAGAACTGTCCAAATCAGTTCTAGTCGTAGAACTGTCAGCAGAACTGACCAAATCAGTTCTAACCGTAGAACTGTCAGCAGAACTGACTAAATCAGTTTTAACCGTAGAACTGTCAGCAGAACTGTCTAAAACTGGTCTAGCCGTAGAACTGACCAAACCTGTCAGGATTGTAGAACAGTTCTAAATGACGTCACTGCAATTTTTTAATATATATTATATTCTTTTGACTTATTTATATTTAAGACAAAGAGTTCTTAAAACTGTTCTATGGATAGAACTAACTAAATCAATTCTAGCCGTAGAACTGACCATATCAGTTCTAATTGTAGAACTGTTCTAGTCGTAGAACTGTTCTACCGGTAGAACTGTTCTAGTCGTAGAACTGACCAAAGATTTTCGGTATGGCGGGTTAATTTTATGTATTAACAATTTTTGAATTTCTATATTGGTTATTCTTAAATTTGTTTATTGAATAGTTCTACCTACAACTGACCAAAGATTTGGTCAGTTGTAGGTAGAACTGTCTAAAACTGTTCTAGGGTAGAACTGTCAGAATCAGTTCTAGTTAGAACTGTCTAAATCAGTTCTAGATAGAACTGACCAAATCAGTTCTAGGTTAGAACTGTTCTAGCTAGAACTGTCTAAACGGTGTCAGGATGACAGTTCTACATACTGTCCAAGAACAGTTCTCCTGACAGTTTCTGACAGATTTGATGAGAGGTTAGAAGTGATCTCCAC